ACTGTATTGTACTGTATCGTACTGTATCATACTGTATCATATTGTATTGTACTGTATTGTACTGTATCGTACTGTATTGTACTTTATCGTATTGTATTGTACTGTTCCACTTGCTGTGACACTGAATGGGTGGACCTGAGTTCCATCTGGCTGGGCCTAGGACCACCCTGACCACCTGTGCCACAGCGGTAGGAACAAACCATCTTGAACTGACAATGAATATTTCACCATGTACCATGTCATGTGCCTTTGTCATTATAATTGTCATTGAGAGCTACAGGAATACTGTCTGCACTGGATAAATTGGGGTTTGAGAGGAAAGTACTCTGTTACTTGCTTCAATGAATATAATATTAGAGATGAATTAGTTAACTATTTTGGTAAGAGATCCTCTGGCACAGTGTCATATCTATTACACTGGGTAGACTGATTTTAAAATTTTTTAAACATACACGACTGGCCTCTTTATGATTTTTACATGCATCAGTAAGTCTTTGGAGGGTAATATGAGTAAGAATTGCCCACATGTGGCTGAATTATTTAAAGCCAGGCTTGGATTTTCTTACTCATTGAGTAGATAGTGAGGCTGGCAGCCCGGCCGATGCTGTCGTCAGACCGACCCCTGCTGCTCCTTCTGGTCTACAGGGAAAAGCGCAGTTTGGCTGTTCAAACACAGGAGTCGGGGCTCTGCTTTGCGAAGAAGCATTAAAAGGCTTGAGGGAAATGCGGGTTAATGTAAGAACCTGTGATCGTACTTTTATGAGGTTGAGATGAGTAATGGACATACTTTGTATACAAAACAGCAGAAATGACCGTGTTTTACCCGAATATGTATATTGTGCTCTTACCCCTGCTGGGACTTATTATATGCTCATTATATGACATATTTAGTATTTATATTTAATAAATATAATTAATAAATCAGATTGTTGTATGGGGGGCGGTAAGTACTGTCGCCTTACACCTCTGGGACCAGGGTTCGATTGTCTGCCATGGCTCCATGTGTGTGGAGTTTGCATGTTCTCCCAGTGTCATTGTGGGGTTTCCTCTGGGTACTCTGGTTTCCTGCCTGCCTCGCGCCGGGATTGGCTCCAGACCCCCTGCCACCCTGAATATGACAAATGGGTATAGAAGATGGATGGATAGACTATTGTATGGCTTACAAATACTATGAGGTTCAAAATTAGAATAGGTAAACCTGTAAGCATCCA